CTGGGTGATGCTGTAAATTCCAGCTCCTGTAAATGCATCCCTGGGTGATGCTGTAAATTCCAGCTCCTGTAAATGCATCCCTGGGTGATGCTGTGGCCACAGAAGGTTCCTCCAGCTGTAAATCCTGGCTCTTTCAGCCCTGCAGGAGAACAATGCTCTGGTGTCAGGCAGCCCACAGCCCATCCATGCTGGGAACAAATGTTGTCAGGGCTCGGTATTTACGTTGGGACCTACGGGGAGGSAGCAACTTGTTTTGTTTTTAATGGAGTGGTCAGGGAGAAGGATAAAAAGCTTTTTGATAATGCGAGGAATGTGGGGGGAAGGGAAGTTACCCAGATATGCATTTACTGTAAGTATGAAGAAGCAGAGGCCTCTTTATCAGACTGGCTCTAATGATGTGCCACAGTCACTTTATTTGAAAGCTTCATGGCTCACAGAAAAGTAAACAAATTCATTACATTATTTTAAAAAGAAGATTAACTGTAGTGTGTCRTCTGTTGGACAGCTGCTGCAGTAATCTTTTACAAACACTTTATAAATGACCACCCTCAGTGTTTTCCAGGGCTTTGTGTGGCTGGATTGTTATTTTAGTAAGTACCAGGGTGGCTTTTCAAATGAAAACGTTGTTTCCTGTATAACAATTGAATTCTACCTTCATCCTAAATATTATTTTATTCTCAGCATGAACTAWAAAATGTCTTCTATACAAATGCAACACATGTTGCTCTTTTGCATGTGTTTGCAATGAATGCTGGCTTTTCCATAAAAACAGCTAAAAAGTCTTTTAAGCAAAAAAAAAGTACCCTACTTCCATTTGTTCTAATTTCTGCTTTCTTAACCTTTCTTCGTTCTGTGAAAACACCAAGTTGAAAAGATGAGTCAGAGTGAACTTAGATGATAGGTGAATTGACACTGAACAAATGTTTAGACCCCAGCAGGTGTCTTTGGCAAATAAGATTGTGCTCAGGTATTGTCTTGTTTAACATTCTTTGGTTGAATGTCAGCAAGAATAACCTTATTTAGCTCTGTGTCTGCATTTGTGTTTGAAAGCATTTGACTGACACAAATTGAAGGAACACTAAGGATTTGGGAACTTATATTTTTAACCAGTCTTGGCACGAAGCAGTTGATCTTCTTGTGCATTCATGTTTCAGTTACCTATTTTTTGAAGAGATGAGAGGGGAGCAGAAGGAGGAGGAAGAGTATTTCTTTCTCACCCAGTTGTCCTTCATGGGGGCAAGAACATCCCTCAGACATCCAGGAATGCCTGGAGTGAATCTCATTTTGCTATGGAACAGCATTTTATTTCTACACAATATAATCTTATACTGGATTTTCCATGATAAACTCAATGTKTATAGTCAGATAAACTATTTAAAACTCTTCATCTGTCCATGAAATATTTATTTTCATTTGGGATATACTGATGCATGTATTTATGGTAATATGATTTTAGATGTGAATAATTAACTATTCTGTCTGCAAACCTAAAGAAAGCTTTGTGAGATATGGATCTGTGTGTGGTTATTGAAGATTGTGCTTGTTTCATCAAGATTGYTAAAGGATCTCCAGGACTCTTGGATGAAGGTGACAGTTGTCACATCTTTGCCCTGATCCCATAACTGAGATGAATTCTCTGCATGGCAGACAGAGGTTTTGTCAGTGCAGGGAGGTGTGAGGTTACACAACAAAYACAAACTGAGGATCTTCAGGAAAGGTGTGGACACTGAAAAAACACCCAAAGCCTCCATCTGCTGTAAAACACATGCCCCACTCAGGTGTGAGTGTGGGAGATCAAACAGCACAAGGCATTGTAGAAATGATGTTTAATACACAAGTGAAAGGTGCTCAGGTTCCTGKAGTCATCATCTGYTCATCCTGGATATRTCAGMTCTCTGGGAGTGCAGCMTTTGCTGTTCTGGAATTGTGCAGAGCAGAGAGGTGATGGAAGGACAGTGAGCAGTAAAAATATGAAACCTGAACCTTCTAGTTTTAAATATTACTTCAAGCTTTTAATTACATTTATGCGTATTATGTTCACTTTCCTATGGAAAGATAAACACTTCATTTAAATGTTAATTATTTCAGGCTATGAAAGAAGAGGAAGAGCTTATTGCAGAGGAACTGGAAGAACTTACTCCAGAGGAAAAGAGAAAACTGGAAAGAAAATTGAAAAAAGAGCGCAAGAAGCAGGAGAAACAGCTGATGAGGGAAGCTGGAATTTCCATTAAAAAGGTGGAGCCCAAAAARCCATCGGGATGTGAGCGTGCCCTGGCCTATTTAACCAGGTAAGAACAGTAAAACCACTGCAGGTGCCCCCTACAGAAGTAAACTGTAAACCAGTAACCCAGAACAAGCTGTACCAAGCAATAACACATTAAAGGAAATTGCTGCAGTTAAGTAYTGAGTTAATGTTTCATCTCAGTTGACACCCTGGAGGACAGTTGTATTTCCCCACTGTATTCTATCACAGCAGCAACACAGAGAAGTCAAATATGGTGCAAACATTTTCTAGAAAGGCAGCTCCTGTCCCAAAGATCTTATAGTTGTTATATAAATATCACAGAGATGAAAGGCACATTGCAGAAAAGATTGCAATGAGAAAATGAGTTTTGTTTCTTGAGTGTGCTGTTGTAGGCAAAGGATTTCCAGTTGTTCTCTTTATATAAACCAATTCCATGGAGTGGTTAAATGCTGTGGAGTCTGAATGTAACCACCTGTAGAATGTTTGGATATTTGTAGATTARGATGGGATTTTGCCACTATTTTTAAGTTAAGAGCATGCCATGCCTGATCTTTGCATACCAAAGTGTACAGCAAATACAGTGGCACATTGGAAGCAATTAATTCATCCAGTTAGCACACTTRTTAGAAGATTTAAAATTCCAGCATAAAGCAAAGCCTGTAGTTAAACTCTAGAACTTCAGCAAAGCGCCCGGGGTGCCCCACAGACAGTGAGAGGCCGTGTTTAAACAGGAACAGAATGTTTATTTTTTTCCAAACTGCAAAATATACCCTGGCTGTAAGACCTCCAGAAGACTGGCACGTTACAAATAGTGGGTTACCACGTGGAATAATTCCAGGGCTGCATCTCTGCCCGTGCTCAAAACTGAAGCATCCAGACTGTCTGAATTGTTACTTACCACTCGCAGTGGGGAGGGAGGAAATTAATTGCATTCCAGGCAGAGGGACATGTGCATTTTTGTTACATAACCCTCAGCATGCAGTGATAGCAAAATGACAATAATATTTTTGATCTGGAAAACAGCTGGAGTAGTTCACTGCTGTTTTGAACTGGGAATGGATTGACAGTTWGCTTTGAACCATCTGCTCAGCTTGTTCTCTGTATGTGTGCTCTGCTAAGTGGTGGATCTCCAGATAATGGATTTCAGGTTTGGAAAGTAAAGGGACAAGCTGTRGGGTTTTGCTTGTTATTCCACTGTTATCTGCATGGATTTTTGCCTTGTTACATGGGAGAATATGAAATTATATTTGAGCTAATACTTGAACAAATTTGATTCAAGAGTTTCACTTAACCTGTACCAAATTACCTTGAAATAGAAAACCAGCTTTATCATTGGTCTTGTAATACAGGCTCTGTGGATTGTATGTGCAGCAACAGGTTGTGAGGGATTATTACAGCAACACAATTTAAGTCTACAATTTGAATTTTGTAGACTTAACAGGGGTAGTCATAAGATGTTGAACTGCCAAACAAACATAACCATGGTCACTATTCTAATCCTGAATGTGCCAGGACCGTTTTGCACCATTGTAAATTATAGAAAAGCAGCTTAATCCTCTTACACCTCAGACTTTTTTTCAACCCATTAAGACTGCAAAAAGAAATAACTGGATTGAAATGATTTAGAGAAGTATTATACTAGCTGGGGAAGGGGAACGAAAATCCGAGTTCTGGAAACTCATTGCAGGAAACTCATTGCAAACTCTCCAGCAGCTTCAGTGGGTCAAGGATTTTATTCCATGTGCTTTTATAGGGCTACAGGTGTGAATAATCTGTGGGTGGATAAATAAATCTTATAGATGCAGGAGATTCATGTAATTGGAAGTAAACAAAAGAGTGCTGTGGATTCGTGTTTTGCCCCACCCACAATAAAAGCCTTCCATGACATGAGTTGGTCAGTGAAGTGGCATCTCATCCTCCTGATGCCCTGTGGATCTCCTGCAGGACAGGTGGAGCTCRGTGTGCCCTGTGAGAACTGGAAGTGTCACTTTGATTATGGATTTCTGCAAACACCATTTGCAGTGGGAGGGCACAGCTGCACAAGGGGCATTCCACAAAACTGTGCCTCGTGGGGAGTTCATCACCAGGGCATTGACAGCAGGGAATAAGCCCCACTCTGTGCCCATCCTGCTCTTGCTGGTGCTTTCRGAGCCACCCTGCAGCAGCAGAGAAGGATTCCAAGGGCTGGGTCACAGCACTGGCTCTGTTTGGGAGCATTTCCAACCTGTGCCACTCTGCTGGGATCCCCACTGCTGGCACAGCATGCCATGAGCTGAGCAGGTCTTCCAGTTTCCCAGTTTTGTTATTTGAGTCTCAAAACAAATGGTTCTTGATGCTTTCCAGTCTCCAGAGGGATCAAATGATCATTTTATTGGGAGGCCATCCTAGCTGAGGGAGGCTTTTTTCACCATGGACATGACGTGGCCATGTGCAAAAGGAGCTGGTGCCAGCTCAAACTGCTCAAAACCCCCAGAATTTTACCTGAGGAACTGAAGGGGATTCTGATAGCCCAGCATTTTCAGCTCCTTGCTCATGAATGAGACCAGGATGAGCACGACCAGGTTTGCACTGCTGATGGAGGAGAAGCAGCCAAATGACTCATTTTTTTGTCTCCTCTTTCACTTTCTCTTGGCCTGTGTGAAAAGGAAAGGGGGAGAGAAAAAAAGTCTTTGCTTCACCAATTTTTATCTCATCTTTTCTCCAGTTAGATGAGTTCAGGTGGTTCCCAGCACAKTTCTGTTCCAAGGCAGCAGTTGGCAGAGAAAAGTTCAGATCCCCAGCTTGCCGAGGGAGCACAGGAAGATCTGAAGATACAGAGAGGATTAAAAGCAGGGAGCTGAAGCAGAAAGGTTATAAAACTCTCAAAAGAAAAAAAAAGAAAAGAAACTAACAAGTGAAATAATGGAAAAACCCCAGAGTGGTATTGAGCAGAAGAGAAAAAACCCTTTACAATTACTGCAGAGGAACAGGGAAAAGCAGGAGAGAGGAAGTATTAGTGGCTAAATAAAGTGCTCAAATCTCTTCCTTTTAATGATGACATGCTTTGTTTCTTTATGATGGTAAGTGATGATTCAGATTTAAAGGGAATATTCCAGTGTCTCATTACKGTGATTCTTGGAAAATCTAGACTAAAAATCCATCCTTTTCTGAGCATTAGGTGACTTCAAGTGAAAAGATGTCGCAATTCTTGAGAATGGTAATTAGGTTTAATTATAACCTGACTGACCTTCTGTGGTGTTAAAATGTTGGCAGAACTTGTTTGTCTTGGCAAGCCACTCTCTCCTAGAAGCTGYTGTTCTTGTGTTTGGCTTGGGAAGTTTATTGCCTCATGGATCTGCACATATGGATTTCTCCATCACCCATCAAAGGAATGGAGAGAGATCTGAAAAGGCCTCACTAAAAGAATGTGAAATTGCAAGATTGATACAATCTGAAGTAGAAATAATAGATAATATTATCTGCATGATGTTGCAAATTACCTRAGCCTTGCAATGCTATTTATCATGWGCTGAAATTTGAAAAATAAGGTGCTGAAGTACAATTTCTTTTTTAATTATTTATGTTATACTATTGGTATATGCCACTTTCCTTTACATATGTCATATTTTTCTCATGCTTATTTGAATTCAGGCAAGATTCACAGAATGTCAGAGATTTTTTTCAAGTAAAAAGAAGCTTTTAGAGTGATGCAAACCAAGGGCAAGTCACAGGAACATGAAAATGAGAGGCAGGCAGAATTTCCCATGGCGTGGGGCAATGGTCTGACTCTGCAGATCCCAAGGTTGGTTTTTGCTGAGCGTGGTGGCAGCACTGCTGACAGACTCGGACAACCCCAGGCAGTTGTTTATCTGCTGGGTTTGCAGAATGGAAACAGATCYCAGTCCTCAGACAAACTTTATTACAAACAGTGCTGAGCCTGGGAGATTTTAAAGCTGGRACATTGTTCTTCCCTTCAAAGAATACAGAAATCTGAGGGGTGTTGCTGGAAGCATTTATTTTTATAGTTCGGTATTTTTAAATATATGCCATATATTATATAGAAATAGAAAGAACATGTAGAAAGTATATCAGGTTTTTATTCCTTCTGGAGCAGAGGCCATCTGGAGAAGGGAATCGTGAGGTAGATTAGTGTTCACTCAGAGTTAGAAGTTTCTGATTTTYGAAGGAGCCAGGAGAGGCTTGTGCWGGGYTRTAAARCAGGCAGCAACATTTGAGATTTGTGGCCAAACAGCTCCAGTGATGGTGGCCCTTGAGGAAATCACAAACCCATTGATCCAACCCCATTTGGGGCAGGTGACTCCATTGGAGGAGCTTCTGCACAAACACAGCTTGTTGATGTTGAAAACCAGATTCTCATTTTAAAGTACCTCCTGTGGCTTGTATCACACTTAGTTTCCTTTGTTAATTGATAATATTTTGTTTACTTCTCATAGGTTAAGTACTTTTTTAGCCACAGTCAGTGATGACTTTTGATGTTTGATTCTGAACCTGAATTTAAATCATTGTCATTGCTGCTGGCCTAAATCTGTATTAATTTCAAACTTGGCACTGGTGTCAATGTTTCACCATCAACAGCTTAAGCTTTTAGATATTAAGAGTCTCTGATGCTCCAGAAATCTAAACATACACTTTTTTTTTTTCTTCCTAGAGGCTGCCTCCTTGGGTTGGATAGCAATTAATATTAGAATTTAGTGGCATTTCTCCTTCCCCCACTCTCCAAGAGGGAGATGGAGTTTCCTTCCTGAGTGGAAGGTGCAGCATGTATCTAAGCTCATCAGTTATCTGGAATTTCATAAAATGCTGGAGAACTGCTCCAGTGATGAATCTCAATTAGCCAGTAACAAAAATAGGGTGTGAACTTAAGAGAAACCATTAGACACAGCAGCACCCCTGAATTCCCTTCAACAATTGGGGCTTTAAGGTGTCTTGAAAGAGCAGCATTTCCTCAAAGATTAGGGGAATAGTGAGGGAGAATAGTTTTGTTTTAATAATCCCAGGGCTATTTTTAAAGGTTCTGGGTCAAGCATTAATTATGGATGTAAT